ACTTCGCGGTTGTTTTCTTATTTTTATTTTTTTTTTATTATTTTGGTGTGTGCCATCTGCAGGATCCTAAAGCGTTTGTTGACGAGCCGCCTCTCTGCGCGCAGCGCCGCGTCCCCTCCAGGGCTGAGGGGATCGGCCGCTTTGTTCGGGTGCTCGTCGTGCCTTTACAGCCTTTACGCGTGTAGCGCGAGAAGGTGTATGTTCACGGTGTTTTCAGTAAAAAAGCAGAGAGATAAAATGTAGAGCAATTTATTTCCAAGATAGTTTTTGTAATCTGAACATACCACCTTTGCACAGCCACTTTTGTTCTTACTTTGGCTTTCACTCCCTCTCCTGAATATGTTTACCCTTCCTGTGAAAGCTGCAGTCTGCATTAATCGCTCTTGCTCTTTGGGGCTATGGTGGTACTAATAAGCCATTCATAACAACTTAAATTGTAACTTGCATAATCAGCATTTCAAGCAAATATTGGTTGAAAGAGTATGTCTTTCCTATTAGTGCTGTGGTTGCTGGAAAGAATCATTGATTATCTTTTAAATAGTTAACATTGCTGATATGCTGTCCTTCAAAATGTTACATTGATAACTGAACAGTCTGATGCCAAGTATCGGAATACAGCATTGATCCACAGCTGGTAACTTTTTTTAAATGGTAATGTCTGCCGCATAATTTAAAGGGGTAATAGGTTAAGTGCTCTGAAAAAGGGGTAGAGCTATGCAAACAAAAAACACAGAGCTGCCTTACCTTTCTGAAAATTACAGACAGGCCTTGCTGACAGTTGCAGTTTTGCTTCACGCTCTGTCTTTTTGGGGAGACCAGTTGATCAAAAGACATCTCTTCTAAATGCATTCTTGTTATCTGTTTAAGAGCTGCTTTGTTAAACAGTTAATGTATAACTATGGTATTAGTGTTTTATTTGGGCTAGCAGTGGGAAGAGAGAATGTCTGTACTGGTGCTTCTCAAGCACATCTGAACACTGCTGCATGTTTCCCTGGTAAAAGATAGTCCTCGGGAAAGGAAATGTGGTCCTTTGGTTAAGGCTGCATGTGAAAGTGAAGAGATCTGACTTTTAATGTTCTTGTCAGTTCTGTAGTTTGTCTTTAAAATCTTACGCTTTCCCCACACAGGTGTGTGTTAGTGGTCTGTGGAAAACCTTCATAGCCATTTACATGAAAGGCAACACCCAGTCTAAAATAAAGTTTTTC